AAACAATCAGACTGTATCGAGGCAGACAATTACTGCTCCATACAAGCTTATACCACAATGACTTTGAGTCCCAATAGATAATATCATTCTCCTTATGCATCCATGGTAAAACAATAACCCTCATTTTGAGTAGCCGTCGCAAAGTCCACGAGCTACTATACTGAACATTCAAAGACCGTAAGTCACCCTGCCTACACTTATACTCATACATCCATGCAACCCACAGTGTCCTTGAGTTCATTAAGAATAACCAAAGCACTCACTATTCCAAATCATTTTATTTATTAATTTATCAATTACATGCAGTTGTTTCATAATAGAAGGGTAACGTTGATTAAAAAAAATGAATAGTGGAAACTGGATAACTGCTTCTGGGGGAAGCTGGAAAAAATAATAAAGGAAAAAGAAAACCAAAAAAGTAATCCAATGAATAGTGGGACATATATATATATATATATATATATATATATATATATATATATATATATTCATACTCATTTCGTGACTAGTCGAGTATTATCCATTCAAACGTGGGTTGGGAACTTGGGATAGCTTAACTCAAATGGATATATATTTTAAATACTTGAAACATTATTTTCATTAAAAAATTGAGAAGCAAACTATTACTCAAGATGTTAAAATAGTTTAATTATTCAACAAGGCAAAATACACTGCGATAGTCACAACTATCAGGTTTGTGACAAATATAGCCATATCCATCGAAATACACGAAATAGCCATTTCCATCAACTTCGTTAACTACGTCAGTTAACGGGATGACTGAACCGACGGTGGATGCTTAGTTGGCATATTTATGACCCCACTAACTAACGTGGATTAAAAGAGAAAAAAATAAATAAAAAAACCCTAAAAACCACAAAATGACAACTAGCCATCCATTTCTCATCTTCGATCTGTATTCTACCCTTGCCTTCGTCTCTCTGTTTTCACGACGGACGATGGGGCTAAAAATCCCACCATTGTCCTTGATCCTCGCTCGATAAATCCTCCTCCGATCGACGCCTTGACCCCCAAATAACCCAACTCCAACTCCAAAATTCCAACATCAATCCCCAACCATCGCCTCCCTTTTACTCCGGCGGCTTCCATGCATCCGGCGCCATGGTGATACCCAGGACGACTGTACTCCCGACGAAACCCAAGCTCAATGGGGAAGTCTAAGGCGAGGTCGAAGGCCATGAAACCCGAGAAGATTTTTTTCGAAAAACCCTGATCGTAGTGAAGGAGATACATTTGCTGGTCTCTTCATTTGTCGCCTCTAGTGAGTTTTGCATACTCTTCAAAGAATCTTGTTGTGGATTTTGATTTGAAAGATTCTTATAGTGGATTGTCTCCTTTTTTTGATTCAGTGCTTGCTTTAAAGGTGGGAAAGCGACAAAGCAATTTAAAGAAGGGACCACTGCTTCTGAGGAAGTCTAGTTGTCACGATTTTGCCCCTTAATTTGAAGGGGAAAGTCAAAGGGATGCTTCTAACTGCTGTGGGTAAAGATGGGAATAATCACTTGTTCCCAATCGCTTGGGCGGTAGTGGAGGGTGAAAATGAAGACTCTTGGACAGGGGGCTGAGCTAGGATTTTAAGTTCGGGGGGGGGGGGGGGGGGGGGGGGGGGGGGGGGAAATTTTTGTTAACGTAAAGAAAATATAGAGATGTCACCACAAAAAATTGTTAAATAAATTGTCACCAACGACATGTTCAAAATTGTTAAATAAATTGTCAACAAAAAATAATGCACCGTGTTCTTCAATATTATGATAAGTAACAAATGAATGTCTTTAAATAATGGGAAAATAATTATTTTATTTGGTATATATTCAAAATTATCTTTTAAGATATAAATGTATAAGTTGAATTAAATTTAAAGTGCGTAACAAAACAAAGCAAAGCATGAAAGATAAGTGACTACATTTTTATTTATTTTAAATAAAAAAAATCAAATTAAAAGACAAATAATAGTTAGTTGTTGGGCATCGAACCGACAACCTCCACTATAATCAAATACCACTTTTATGTTGGACTAGAAGCAACCACTATGATATTTAGATTGCACAATATTATTATATACAAATCCATTTGAATATATACGTAACTTCAAAATTCTCGTCGTCGTATTTTTACACAACCTTCAAAATGCTGGGGGGGGGGGGGGGGGGGGGGGGGGAGTCCCAAAGTAGCTCCGCCCCCTGCTCTTGGAAGTGGTTTTTGAACGCTTTGTCTCAAGATTTAGGCATGTTAGATGGAAGAGGGTGGGGTGTGATTTCTGACCAACAAAAGGTTATAAATCTTTCCCACATTTATCGTTTGCCATTACGTTTTAACAACGACGAGAACATTGTGCTCGCAATGGACCACCCCACCACCATTGATGCTTGTCGTAGATGAAGATACACGCTTTGACATCTCGAGCCCAAGATCGTCCAACTCGGATACGCTAGAAATCGATGTGATGAACGCCGAGAAGTAGTTTGTTGACGATGTGGTGGACTGCCGCCGGTGATGAGCTGACGAGGTGATGAAGGTCGGGAAGTGGAGGCTGATATGTTGTAATAAAAGTAAAATTTTTACATACTAAGATTTTACATATTTACACCTTTATCAAAACTAAATTATGTTGTAATAAAAGTAAAATTCTAATCAATTTGACTAAAATTATAAGCAGGTCTAAATAACAAGAGTAATTATACACGAGCCACTTGAAAACAAGTCAATCAGGTCATATCAAAATTATTCTCCCCACCCAACAGGAATATTTATAACAGTTTAGTTTTTGTCACTTTGCAAGGACTCATTCAAAGTCAAACACACTTTGCAAGGAATATTTATAATATTGGTATGTCTTGTTTTTGTTTATTTGGCGGTATCACTAGCAACTAGTAACTAGGCGAGACTCCTACATCAACGTTATAATATTAATTAGGGTTTGTGAAAAAGTAGCAGAAATAATAGTAAATTCATCTGTTGGTATGACTGTATTTCAAAAGTTTCATACTAGTAATACATCTTTTGAATAATTTTTTTTTTAAATAATACCAACAAAATCAGGGTACCGTTTCGAAATAATACCGAAATATGTCGGATAAAAAGCTATAAAATGTTAAATAAGCATACAGTCAACAAAGTGTGACATTACAATACAAAATAAACAACGCTCCCAAACTAGAAACTACTACTTGCACTTAAACTTGTAATCGAATCCATATCTTCAAACAACACCAAATATTGAAAAGTCTAAATTCTGAAGATCCCCTTCATCTTCTTCATGAGCAACTACAATACAAGAAAAAATAATTAAATATCATTATCAATTATTAGAATTAGAAATTTAGAACACATTCATTACATAATTAATTCACACACAAACCTTCACAATGCAGTCAATAGTGTGATTCTACCTAGAAGCGGTTGGGTGATCTAGAAGCGTAAAACCGTAAGCTTTTAAGTTTTAAAACATAGATTTTGACTACATTTGTAAGGGAAAATAAAGATTCTACGTAGAAGCGTTTTGGTGACCCAAAAAGGTAAACTCGTAAGTTTTTAAGTTTTAAAGCGTGATTTTGACTGCATTGAACCTTCATACTCTGATGTTCTATCTAAGCTCATCCGCATCCAATTCCCCGCCCCCCCCCCCCCCCCCCCCCCCCCCCCCACAATATGCATCTTCTTTTTCTATTGAAATCAATGATTAGTAATAGTAGAATCAATACTTTCAGAATTTATGAGATCATATGATTCTTTGTTTTTATTCGTATAATATTTTCTAATCGTAGTAGTGGCGAGAGAAACTGATTTAAGTCAATGGTAAGCATAAACATTATTAATTAATGAAAATCCAAGTGGGTTAAAGGGGATTACTATCTTTTTTATAAAAAAAAGAGAAGAGGATTACTAGATTTGACTGTCATATTAATCCAGCTCCAAGTAAGATGGTGCGTGAAGCATCAAGCAAGAAGGCAAAGTGGGTTCTTATCTATCAATCTCCTCCTGATACCCTGCGAAGCGATTGCGTCTGATCTCCTACCAAAACACTAATGGGTGGTTTGAAATTGTAATTGTGGGATTAATATGTTATGAAGAATACATATATTAATATTATATATATTAATGAATCTATTTCACGGTTTTATATTGAAAACCGATGTACAAATTTAACATTTGGTCACTGAGATTACTAAATCGTGTCATGTTTAGTCACTAGAAAAATTTAATATCAATTTTGGTCACTCGAATTACTGAAACATGTCACATTTAGTCACTCTCCGGTTAGTTTCCATCGAACTCAATCCATGGAGTTGGACGGAAACTAACGTGAGAGTGACTAAATGTGACCTGTTTCAGTAATTCGAGTGACTAAATATGACATGCTTCAGTAATTCGAGTGACCAGAGTTGGACGGAGGCTAACGGGAGAGTGACTAAATGTGACTTGTTTCGGTAATTCGAGTGACCCAAATTGATATTAAAATTTTCTAGTGACTAAACATGACACGATGTAGTAATCTCAGTGACCAAATGTGACATTTACCCTAATAGTATATTATAGATTAGACTAATCTACCCAAGTATATTATATACTACTCGTTTTGAGTAATAATTTATGTATTGTGTATGAAAAACCGATGTATCCTAAACAATACCGTAACAATCTGCCATTAAAAAAAAAAGGAAACCTAAAATATATATGCTACATACAAGTAAAACTTTAATTAAAAATGGTGAATACATATCTTAACCAGAAGGAATCCTATTCTCGCGACGGGAATATGAAGGGGGGAAAATCAAAATACAGAAGAAGAAGAAGAAGAAAAAAAAGAGAGAATCAATCCACGTGGATAGGCAGAGAGGTAGGTAATGGTGGTGGTGGGTGGTCACATCAAGAGTCAAGACAGAGCCTGCAAAGCTTGAAGGCGACTCCGCCTTCCTTCCAACTTCCTTTCCTTTTCGCAATTAATAATTCCTTTGGCCCGTAGCTTAGCACTAAGCGCGCGGAGCTAACAAAGAAATGCCAGCCCAAGCCGATCCAAATCCGCTGCCGCCCCATTCCCTCCGAATCACCAAAAAAAGGAATCTCTGCCTCTCTTTATCACCTCCCTACCCACATGTAACAAGAAGAACCTTTTCCACATTACACAGAAAGAGAGAGAGAGAGAAGTAAACGAATTAGTTAGAGAGATTAATTAGCTTAGGGTAATCACAACCCTCAAAAAGTATGAAAGGGGAGCTATCACAGGAGACGCCGGTGGAAGCTCCGGCGAGCGCGTTGTGGGAGGCCTACCGCGGGATTGAGCTGGGGAAGCTGGTCACCGAGCTGATGTCCGACACCATTGGCCAGGCCCAAGTCCTCGAAGGCGACGGCGGCCTCGGCACCGTCGTCAAGCTCACTTTCCCGCCCGGTAAGTAAATTATCATTTTTCATCATTTCTATTATTTAGTTTTGTTACTCGCTAATTAATCAACCTACGTCGCCGTTTAGGGACGCCGGGGGTGGGATACTTGACGGAGGTATTCAGGGTGGTGGACGACGAGAAGCGGGTCAAGGAAACCGAGACAGTGGAAGGCGGCCTGCTCGCTCTGGGCTTCGACTCGCTCCGAGTCCGCCTCGAAATCGTGGAGAAAGGCGCCGAGTCCAGCGCCGTCAAGTCCACGCTCTTGTACGAGGTGGACGACGCCAAGCCGGAGCTGCTCGATTATCTCTCCACCGACCTCTTCGAGCTCATGGCCAAAGGGATAGGCAGCCATGTCGTCGAGAACTACAGCAAGAAGAAATCGACATCGTCGATCCTCTCCGCTTGAATCATCCCCATTTGTTGTACTGCTTGCTTGCTTGTTGCTGTCTGTTTCTTCCATCTCGATCGATCGTGTGTTTGTGTGTTTCCAGTAACAGTAATAATTTAATTGAGAGCTGATTAGGCATCAGCAATTTCCACAACAACCCGACCCGTCTTGAACGGATACTATCCGCTTCGCAAGTAGTGTGGATTCTGATAATGTGTGCGTCTTATTTACGCCTCGGCCTGTAGGCGGCTGGGAAAATAGACCAGACTGTTAGAAAAACGGTGGTTCAAACCGTATCGCACAGTTTGGTTCAGACCGTAGACCGTTAAGTATGGTCTATATTATTTTATGTTTTGATTTCTTGGTCTGGTCTGATCTAGACCGCGGTTTACCGACCAAACCGTGGACCTAACTGACTTGCCAATACGTGTTAACACCCCATTCGACCACTCTCCCAACTCCCACAACGATTACGACACCCAAGTCTCAACCTTAGTTTTGTGAATCTCGACCCTCCTTCATTCACAACCACATTTAACTAGTAAGTACAGATAATCGTGCCTCCATATGACATTATGTTAATGCTTATGACGTTATGGTGCAAGTTGGGATACTTTTACTTTGTATCTTTGTTATGTACTAAGATTTAGAGTATCAAAATTATTCATGCATGTTAGGATTAATGATTTAAGGCAAATAACTATTATTTTTCCTGGTTATTGGTTCAATTTTTTGTGTGGTTGGCTAAACAATTTTTTGTGTGGTTCAATTTTTCTGTCGCCACTCTCCAATTGTTGGTGTCAGGGATATTCTCATTCAAACTTCCACTTTGACTCTTGTGGTTGTGGCCAGTGGCCACCCTTCAAGCTTTGCATTCCAACTAGGGATGCCAATCCAACCCGTAACCATGGGTATCCTACCCGACCGTAACCGGTCAACGAGGGTAATTACCCGCTTTGACGGGTTAAGGGGCCGGTACGGGTAATACCCGGTTTCAAAATAAAGGGTAGGGTACGGGTATGGTAATCGATAGTACCCGCCCCGCTAACCAAAGGGTCAATTTCCCTTGAGAAATTTAGTTTAGCTTGAGAAATTGAGTTTAACTACCATTATTGATGATGAAGATGTAGACGATTATTATGTTTGTGTGGATTGTACAAGCAAGAACAATTATTATGTGTTTGCTGTTTTTATTTGTGTGGATTGTTGAAGCTAGAACAGTTACAAGTATAGAGAATTTTTAATGGACAACAATATGTATGTGCATATGTGTGTATAAGTTCATAGTTTAGGATTCGTACCCATGGTTACCCGAATACCCGTGGTTACCCAGTGGGTAGGGTATGGTTATATAATTTTCATACCCGGTGGTTATTTGGTCGGGTATTTTAGAAGGCTCTACCTGGCAGGTTAGGAGTTGGTATAGGGTAAACCCGCACCCGACCCTACCCATTGCCATCCCTAATTCCAGCTTTCCCATCTTAATTAGTGTTTACTTTACCTCTTGCGACTCCAAGTTACAAAATGACATTTTTCATATATGAGCTTAATCAAGAATGATATTTGGTATCAGTTGAGTCTTGAGCGACCAATTTATAAAATTGTTCAGTTGTTTACATAAAAAAGGTTTGATTTGCAACTTAATGGAAAATTTTAATTAAAAATCTTTTAGAATATAAAAATTCGTCGTGGTTCACTATAAAAATTATGAATATGGTGAACTTTAATTTATATTAATTATTAATTTATTTTTATGGGGCGACATACCTATCCCAAAATCATTGGTCCGCCACTGGAGATGATATGACCCATATAGTCCACCTCTCGTACTCCAAAGGCACACTTGGATACCTTAACAAAGAACCGATGTTCTTGCAGTATCTCAAACACCTGCTACAAATGCTCGGCTCATGTCGCTATATGACAAAATATCATCAAAGAACACCAATACAAACCTGCGAAGCAGCGGTCAAAAGATCTCGTTCATGGCAGTCTGGAAGGTTGATGGTGTATTATAGAGCCCAAATGGCATCACCAAATACTCGTAGTGCCCATTGTGTGTCCCTGAAAGCCGTCTTAGCTCTTAGGGATGTCCTCCGTGTGCATCGGGATCTGGTGGTATCGTGCTCTCAAGTACAGCTTAGTGAAGTACCGAGCACCCTGAAGTTCATCCAACATGTCATCCACGGTCAGATTCGGAAGCCGATCCTTAACGGTGGGCACGAAAGTTAGTGCAGAATCGCCAAGGACCATTTTTTTCCTTCACCACCAGCAGCTTGGTCGAACCAACCCTGCGTCCATCATCTCATCCACCTGCTGCTCTATCTCTATCTTCTGATGATTAAACTATATGTATGGCCATACATTTATGGTGTACGTCCTGTCCTTCACTCTAATATGGTAGTCTACACCATGCTGAGGTGGTAGCTGGTCGGGTTTCTCGAACATGGTGGCATACAGATCGAGCAACCCTTGTAGCTCCGGTGCCACTTCCTGCTCTTTGGACCCCACAATCGGCCAGCACAGCACCGCCAACTCAACATCCTCAGCTAGTTGTGGATCATCCCAGCTCACTGGCACAGACATAGTAGTCATGCCTTGTAATTCCATGTCCTTGTCCCACCATTTAAACTGCATGATCATCCTGGTCCAGTAACCGGTGCTTGGTCCTAGGCTCTTCAGTCATGTCATCCACGGTCGGAGTCGGAAACCGATCCTTAACCGTAGGCGCGAAAGTCAGTGCAGAATCTCCAAGTACCATCTTTTTTCTTCACCAACAGCAGCTTGGTCGAACCAACCCTGCGACCATCATCTCATCCACCTGCTCCTCTATCTCCATCTTCTGATGATAAAAATATATGTATGGACGCACATTCATGGTGTTCGTCCTGTCCTTCAATCTAATATGGTGGTCCACTCCACGCTGTGGTGGTAGCTGGTCGAGTTTCTCGGACAGGGTGGCATACTGATCGAGCAACCCTTGTTGCTCCGGTGCCACTTCCTGCTCTTTGGACCCCACAATCGGCCAGCACAGCACCGCCAGCTTGACATACTCAGCTAGCTACGGATCATCCCAGCTCAATGGCACAGACACGGTAGTCATGCCTTGTAATTCCATGTCCTTGTCCCACCATTTAAACCGCATGATCATCCTGGTCCAGTCACCGGTGCTCGATCCTAGGCTCTTCAGTCATGGAACTCCAAACACCACATCAAATCCCTTCAAGGGTAGCACATGCAGATTCATAGTTACCAGGGGTGGGCAACGAGAAACGGATATTCGGGTATACCCATACCCGTCCTTTATTTGAGGGTTACGGACCCAAATACCATTTTTTAACTGGATGAGATTTGGGATCAATGATTTCTAAAACGGGTACCCACGAGTTACCCGTTAATACACGTTTGAATAATGCAGGTACCCGTAATACCCGTTAGCAAAACTTCTCTATGAAATCAGTTCTGAAAATCAATTGGACTTTAACAACTCAATAAGCCCACTTCTTTTGTATTCGTTTATTACTTTCTTTTGATGCGCCAATTCTAACTTAAGCCCATTTGTGCTTGTTGGAAGAAAAGAAAAACGACAAAAGCTTTCCTTCCTCATTTGACTCTCTCTTTCATTCTCTCCTCTCTGTAGGGGTGGACATTCAGTCGGTTCGGTTCAAACCAAATCAAAATAATGCATATCGGGTCTCCAAATTTCATCAAACTCCAAACCGAATTCGAACCGAATTATAATTTGATTCGGTCGGTTCAAACCAAATTATAATTCGGTTCGATTTGATTTTTCATACAAAACTGAATTTGTGAGGTTATCTTGTATTTGTTCTCTTTTAAATTACTTTTCACCTTAATGTGAACAATAAATACGCCATTATATGCATAAAATCAAACATTCCAACACATAAGTCATAAAACGCTAACATGATTCAAATATTTAAGTCTTATAATAAGTACAAACATAAAAATCCACCATTTGGAGCTTGCAATTATAGTAATTCGGTTATTCGGTTCGAAATTCGGAAATTCGATTCGGAATTCGGTTCGGTCAAAAGGACCCTGATTTCCAAAATATGTCATTTTCTCTTTCAAATTTTTAACCGAATAACATTAATTCGGTTTCAGTTCGATTTATATTCGGTTCGGTTAAATTTGGTTTGGTTTTACCGAACCGTATGCCCACCCTACCTCTCTATATTCTTCCCATCGTCTTCTTCTTCTCGTCTCTGTCTCTCTATTTTTCCCTTCCTCTTACAAAACAAAAGCCCCAATTTCAGCCTTACATCAATTCACACATCATTGGCAGAGGCGAGACCAAGAGGCTGAACAAGAATGCTGCTGCCGCCGGATCATCTCTGGTGGTAGCCATTTATTTTCTTTCTTTAGCATTTAATCTCTCTTTGAACGGGTATGTACGGGTAATTTGGGTACCCGTTATCCGTCTCGTACTGGTAATGGGTACCCGTTAATTTTTATGGGTTTGGGACATGAGATGGATGGACTTTGCTCTTCAAACGGAATTGGGTACTCGTTTTAAACGGGACGGGTATCACGTCCCATCCCGTTGCCCTTCCCTAATAGTTATTTGTAACCCCTAAACCCGAAAAGGCACGACTTCCAACCTGCGAGTGCATCTAGAAGTGGCAATTTTTTATCCAATCCACTCAAATTATCCACCTAATCCAATTCATTTAAATTCAATCCATTTGATCCAAATGAAAAATTATGATTTGGTACCTATATATTTTATATTATAAATTTTAGTAACCAAAATTTAAATTTTTATATGAAAAATATCATTGGAAAAATATGTTTTTGTACATAAATTTTTGTATTATAATATTTTAGTACCCAAACTTTTTAAAATTTACATATTCGTCCAAGATTAGGATGTCTTTTGATTCATGGATCAATCCACCAATACACTTGATCCAATCCATGAATCCATTTGATCCAATCCACTTGATCCATGGATCCACCAATCTATGGATCCAATCCAATTGTCACCTCTAAGTGCACCTCAATCCTGCCCCATTGGCGGCTCGCACGTCGAAAGGGTCGATCGGTTTGGTCGGTAGCCACAACAAGGCCGTGAACATTTCCTCGACGAAGTTAAGGGAAACTCCACTGTCGGCCAGCGCCACTACCCGTTCTCCCGCGACCTATCATCATTGGACTCGAGATCCTTACCGCGGTCGTCGCATATATCACCTTCGCCACGTCCACTGACCGCCATCCGCCTGTTGCGTCGGCGCCTCTGCGGGTCTAATTGGGTTGGTCTCGATCGCCTCGTTGCCCGTGCCCTTGGCCATCGCGAACACTGCCCGCAAGGCCTCGCTGTCGCTCGACAACTCCTCTGTGACGCGCCCGAACTCGGCCAAAGCTTTACGAGTCCTCGCCTCCCACTACATGGTTTAGGGGTTGTGATGAACTCATCTCAAACGTGACTCTGATACCAATTGTAAGAACACAGACTGTTGAGATAGAATTAAGAGAAAGATTGACAAGAGAATTAGGTTTAGGGGTTGAGAATTGAGAAGATATGGGGAAGAAATCGAGAATTTTCAGGAAGAAGAGGATTGGGAATTAGGATTTTAATAATACTATGTTCTTAATCCAACATAATCAAGTGCAATCCTTTAAATAGAAACTCCTCAAAATAAACAAACTCCCTAAAATACCCCACTTATGTCGAGCTCTCCCATACCCTCCACGGTTAAGTCGTGTTTCTTACTGCAAATGCCTAATTATTTGGGTATTCTATACCATCATGGTGGAGTGATGGACTTCTCGAGTTTTGGAACCATGATATGTTGGTGGTTCTTCAGGGAAGATATCGGTGGATGTTGATGAATTGCCATACTTCGAAATTCTGAATGTGGCTACAATTTACTTGACATATGTGGGTGTACGAATTATATAGTACTTGACACCGGGGGGCTGCAATGGCAGATGGTATACATGTAGTGCATTATGATAAGGATGTGATGGAAGGCTTGATTGTCAATGCAGCCGAAACTAAGGATGTGCCTGTATTTGTAGATGTTATCGAGCTGGAGGACGGACTGATTGGGGACAATGAGGACCCATACATGTTTCAAGGTTTATCTAAAGAATGTGAAGATATTGGTAAGAGCTCTGTTGCGAGGAAAATCATCAATGTGGCTGACTCGTGTGATTGCGGGGATGAGGTTGAGCAGCCTCATGTATTTGGAGATGTCTACCTTGAGGTGGAAGAAGGATAAGCTTATTCTTCTAATGGAATGTCCAAACCAACAAATCCAAGTGTACCACATGTGTTCAATAAAGTGTCTAGGGAATGATGTGCAAAATTTCCATTTTATTATTTTGGTTGTGATAACGAGGATTTCTTTTTCAAGGTTGAGCTCAAGTTGCTGACTATTGAGCATTTTATATGTGCTATATACAAACACTCTGATTCTGTTGGGGCAAATGTTGCATGTACAAGGAGTAACGAAGGTAGGAGGGAGTTTAAGTGTGAGGAGGCTTCTTATGCGTGGAGGTATATGCTTCTTGGTGGGTAGATGGTGCAAGTTTCATGGTTAGGAGGATAGGTATGCCTCACACTTGTTCGATTCAACCTAGCGACTTCATCGTTTATTGCACATTATTTCGAGCGCCTTAGGTTGAATCCAAAGTAGGAGCCTTGCCACATTGATGAGGAGATAAATGCAGAATCAGGTGTCGAGTTGAAGTGAGAACATGCTACCGAGCTAAGGTTATTGCAAGTAAATGTTATATGGGACTCTCGACGAAGAGTATCACAAGTTGAGACGATATGTGGCTGCCTGACTGCTTTGAAGAGGGCATAATCGGAGGGACTTTTTGTTCTAGATGTTGTTCCAGACATGGCTGCTCATATAGCGTATTTCAAGAGGTTCTATGTGATGTTCTCAATTATGAAAATTGGCTTCCTCGTGGTTGTAGGACTATTTTTTTCAGTGGATGATTGCTTTTTGAAGGACGATGTCAAAGGTATGTTGTTGAAAGCTTTGGCAAAGAATGAGAATAACCACATTCTCCCCTTTGCATGGGCTGTGGTAGAGACTGAGAACAATGATTCATGGACATGATTTTTTAGCATACTACAAAAAGAGTTACAATTTGACGATGGAAGTGGATGGAACATCATTTCATACTAACAAAGGTATAATTGCATTGGGATTTATAACCGAGTTACTTCAACCCACTAGTAATTGCATGCAACGGCGGATCCGTGATAGGGTAGAGCACTGGGTCACATTTGAAAAAAGACAGAGAGGACTGGGCCGTAATCCGACAAGTATTGAAATGAATACCTAAATTCAACAATTTAAAAGAGCTATACTAACTTTAGATCCGGGGAGAGCTGGGTCGTGGCCCGGGGGCGGCCCCCTTGATCTGTCATTGATTGCATGAAGTAGTTATGTTCTTATGTTCTTATTCGAATTACTATATTTGCAGGGGTTTGTCGAAACGATGCATGAGGTGATGCCTAGTGCGGAGCATAGAATGTGCTCCTGTCATATGAATGAGAACTTGAAGGCCAAAAACAAGAATGGTCAAATGCGGGGCCTATTCTGGAAGGCGGTATATGCTTGCAATGAAGCCGATTTCAAGGCAACTACTTGTGAAATGTAAAGCTATGAAAATAGGCATGTACAATTTAGAGAGGTTTGTAAGTCGATAAAAGTAAAACAATAAATAAAATCTAATTCATAAAATACATAATTTCAATTTTTTCAAACGAGCAAATCGTTAGACATAGCTTATGTATCAAAGATGAAATAAAATAGTAAACACAATGACCAAACATGCTATTTACCCTAAAAGAATCATAAACATAGCCTATATTTGGCCACAATTTTTAAAGGTGCTTTTGTGCTTTAAAAGCTAAAGGCAGACCAAACACCTCTATAATATTAACTTTTAAAAAACTGGAAAAGTACTTCTTACAACATATATACAGAAGCTCCGACTTTTGTAAAACATCGTTTTAAAAATATAGGATTAACCCAGCATTAAGGGCGTTACGACGATATACGATAAGAATGAAGAAAAACTCGTGATTGGTGTGGAGGGGAAGATCTGTTTATGATATAGTGAAAGAAAGAGATACTATTAATATAAAAGAAATTAAAGATTCATTTGAACTTTTTTCGATTAAAAATTACTTTTAATAATTTATTAGCCAAATATTTAAATATGTTCAATTTTTTTAGAAATATTTTAAAGATTACCGCCAAAAGTTACATTTACAAAAATTAGAATAGAGTAAAACTACTTCATATGGACGAGATAATATGCTAACCCTTAAAGGGGTTGGGTTTTTGAGACCCCAGCCATCAGCCGTCCATTTTATCCTGAATCTTAAGGTAAGTATTAATGGAAGGGATTTTTTTCCAGAATTTTGTAAATGGGGCAAGTTCCCATATTAATTACGTTTTCATGGGTAAAGAGTAAATCACGTTGGATGGGGAAAAATTTATTGCGCTTCCATATTCCACTTCTTTCCTCCCGAAAAAATAGAAACTCAACCCTCTCCTATACATAACTCCACGGTTGCGGGAAACCAGCGGGCATCGCCGCAGTGGGATCCCCTCGACCCGCCTGGTGGGTTGCTCGCCGCCGGAGGATGAGACACAAGGGATATCGCCGGAGATCGAGCCGACGAAGGCCACACGGGAGGTAGGACGAATATGAGATTCCGTGCGGCGGTTCTGGGCATGCCAAGAACGGCAGCTCCTGTGTCGGCATCGGATGACGGGGAGGTGCAGACGAGATCGGACTTGCCTCCCGACCGCTGGATGGATTGCTAGCTGTCGAGGGAGAACTCGTCGGAGATAAAGAAGAACATGGAGGGCGTCGGTTACTCATTTCTTAATGCTTCTTGTCGTGAAGTGAAACCCAACAACGTCTAGGAGACAACGACATCGTCGTGAACATGCACCATTGATGTGGTACATATATCATTGAACTGATACATGTACCACTAAACTGGTATATGTATCACTACTCACTAGAGTGGTATATGTACCACTGATCTGGTAAATATATCATTGAACTTATACATGTACCACTAACGTGGTATATGTACCATTGACCTGATACAAGTACCAATGCAACTATTCAAGTCATAATTTCCACACCAAAAATGTGACCACCCACTTGCAGCGTTAGATATACTGTACTTGTACCATTAGCAAAATCAAAATTCATCCTAAATGTTCCCATTGTAGTGATAGATATACTTTTGAGTGGTACCATTGAAATGGTACATGTATCACTAAACTGATAGATGTGCCAGTAAACTGATACACATACAATTGTACTAATAGATTTATCACTGAACTAATACATGTACCACTGAACTGATACATGTACAACCAATTTGATACGTAAGCAAACCAACAATTTTTCCATTAGTATCACCATTAGTATCATTATCCAAGAATCAACTATCACTGGAGTGGTACACTTTCGTAACAAAATCAACAATATATACAACTTCGGTGATAGACATACACATAACGCTTTGTCAAATCAACTATCACTGGAGTGGTACACTTTTTTGCCAAAGTCAACAATTTATACCACTCCAGTGATAGACATACCAGTACACTGGTACTAATACCACATGAAAAAATCCACACGAAAACCCAGATTTGGGTTTGGGAGAAAGAGACAGTAGGGGAGAGAGAGCTACCTCAGTTTCTTCGTCGTCGTCTTCGCCGGGAAGGGGAAGAGGGCCACCGCAGGAACGGCAGGAGTGAAGTCATCTCGTAGGGAGGGTGAGGAGGGTCACCGTCTTCTCCGTCGATCCCTTTGCAGTGCCGAGCTTTGTGGAAGGAGATGGAGAGTCGTGGCGACAAGCCTGGTGTTGCTCGGAGAACAGCAACAACCATCATCCGAGACTTAGCCCACGACGGAGGATGGGGGAGAGTCGGAGGGAGAGGATCTTGTTGGTGCGTCGATGACCGGAAACCATGGACCGTGGCGAGGAAGAGGTGACGGCGGCGAGCAGGGGAAGAGGGAGATCGAGGGAGAGAGAAGGAGAAAGCGAGAAAAAAATGGGATTGAATTTTGAATTAGGAGTGTGAACCATTTTTCCCCAGATTCTTTCCATTTTCCAATATAGTGAAAGAAACTTATTGTGTAATTAATACCCAATAAACAACTGATTAATCCTTCCCATTGGATTAGATGGACGGTATCTAAGAGGGGTGTCAAAAATCGAAAAAAATCCTAAAATACACATGTTTTTAAAAAATAGTCTCAAAATACACACGTTATAAAAAAATTCCGAAAATACACATGTTTGGGCATCACCGCTGTTGTCAACCGCAGTGAATGCATTCACTGCGGTTGACGGTCGTGGTTAATGCCTGACGTAATACTGAAACTTCAAACAAACGTAACTTTGCGCTCGGTTATCCGATTGTAGCGAATTTTTTTATTATTCCACATAACTTTTCAAGATCTTTCAATCCGAAACAAGTCTTCATCCCAAAAAAAATTTCGTTTCCTACCCCGAATAAGCAAAAGTAAATGCAAAGTTATTGCCAAAATCCAGTATACCCAAAAATACATATTTTCAAAAAAATTATTTCCTAGTAAAAGTTGTAGTTCTTAAAAAGTTATGCGCAATCAGATTTTTTTTTTACGACGCTCGGATTGAGGATCTAAAAGTTATGGCCTTCCAAAGTTTGGCAAAATCGAAAAATTGCTCGTTCGGTGTAACAAATGACATTTTTCTGATATTAAGTTTTGTTGCAGATTGAAAGATCTTGAAAAGTTATATGGAATAAAAAAAATCACTACAATCGGATAACCAAGCGCAAAGTTACGTTTGTTTGAAATTTCAGTGTTACGTCAAGCATTCACCGCGGCCGTCAACCACGGTGATGTATTCACCGCTTTGGTCTGCCGCGGCGAATGCATTCACTACGGTTGACAACAACAGTGATACCCAAACTCAAATACTTTCGCTCTCTAAACCCAATTTCAAAATTATTCTTTGATCTCTCTCTTCCGTCCCTTCATTATCAGCTCCCTAGGGTTGCCGCCAGCACCTCTTGGTGACCGGCGGCAGCCCAATGATTTTCCTTTCCTTTTGTTTTCCTTCCAAGCCCTACTATGCTTTGGCTTTTGGAGATTTTCAATCGGTTTTCTTTTCCATCTTTTCTTGCGTTTTGCTCAGTTTGTGTTGTCTTTCTTCTTCAGTTCTAGGTTTCTCTTCTTCCTCTAGTCGGGTCTCTTCCCTCTTTGTGAAGACTTCTTTGCTCCTCTCGTTGGAGAGATAGTTTTTGCTCCCACCATGGTTGGCTTTCCAGATCTGTGTGGATGTACTCTGGTTGGTGCTTGAGGGAGCCGATTTTCGGTTCGCTCGCTCCTCTCGGTTCCTCTATCTACCTCCACATGCTTCATCCAATGTTGGGGATGTTGCGGAGATGCAAGGGCCTCTGTTGTCTAGGATAGTGTTTCGAGGAGCTTGTGAGCAGGAAAACCAATTTTCGTGGATGGGATCTTGCCACCTGCTCAGATCTGTGGCGGTTCGTCATTCCTCTGTCCGTTTCTAGGTGCTCCATTGTTTTTTCTTGATTGTGCAGGTGAAGTTTGGAGACTCTGGATTTGGTCCCCTCCCGTTCTTTCTTGCTGTTGTCATCCGTTCGCTGGCTCCCGATTTGTCAGTCCTGGTGGTCCTCTCCCCGGCGGGCGGCGGTGTTGGTTTGGGTGGCTTCGGCGACAGCTAGTCTTGAGTGGGGATGCATGCGGCTCCCATCACTTGTTGTTGGGCTACTGGTTTTAGGGTTTCTAGGGGTAAGCAATGGGGTCCATGTGTTTGGACCGAGCTTTGGGTCTTGTTCGCTGTGGGCTTTTATTGGTAGCTTACTTTTAGATTTCCTTGCTTACTTTTAGATTTCCTTTTTTCGATAGGTTTTTTTCCTCCTTTCAGTGTTGTATTAACTCTGTACACCATATTTCGTATAAATGAAACGACCACTCCACTTCACAAAAAAAAAAAAAAATACCCAAACATGTGTATTTTGGGAATCTTTTTTATAACATGTGTATTTTGGAAATTTTGTTTAAAAACATATGTATTTTTAGATTTTGATATTTCATCCTCAAAAATCAGACCCCTTGTGGGGGTTAGCAAGCTAACCGCTCCCTACCTCATATGATAGTTTAAGCAATACTGTCAATGAATTAAGATAACCGAAACTCAGCCTACCCGAACACAAAGCTAGTTTGTGCGTAAAGTAAGATGGCATTTCCCCCCAACATTCTCAAAAGAAGTCCTAAGAACATACAATATAAAGGGGCATTCAAAAAAGCCAGACATATTTTCTGGCAGCCATGGACGAGATCAGGTCTTAGAATCCAACTACTTTCATAACTATACTAAGCAGTGTATTCACTGGAGACAACTCCACAGTTTTGCTCCTTCCAGCTTTGGCTTTCCACTTGGTTAGTACCCTATTTGTAGTAACTACATACTTACATAATACCCCTTCATCTTCTCTTCCTTCAGAAGACCAAAAGTGTTACCTGATGTGAATGCATGCAGCAGCCGACGTAAGCACAAGGTAGATGTACATTAGAACTCACATGAATTTTAACATAAGGTTATATTTTGTGCTGTCAAGGTAGGTGATTGAGTTACTAACCCGTTGAGCTTCAAGGTTTCCTGCGCTTGGTACTCTTGATTTGCTTGTAAATGTAAGTAATAACCTCCTTGGTTGTGGCTCTCCTATCTTCTCTGAAGTTCCAGATTTCCTCTACAGGATATCTCCCACTTGGATTGTATTCATTCAACTCTTCCATTGCCCTAACAACTGCATTGACAATCCCCTCACCCCACTCCGTCAGACTTTCCAGCTTTTCATCTTGTTCATCTACAATTTCCTGGAACCAGACAATGGGATGATGTGTTGAGATTTCAATAAGATGTTGGATTCATCAGTAAAGCTAAGAAATTCACCTTTTCAACCCCGTCTGAAGTAATGACTTTGAAAGGGTACCACTGAGAATCTGTCAGATTGTTCTGCCACAAGCTACAGAGCTCTAGAGCCTTGACTCCTGCTTCCTCAGATGGAAATCTTTGTTTGCAAGCATCAAGGAACGGCTTCTGATTGAGTTCGCCCATTCTCTTTATCCCAATGTTCGTTTTAGCATTACCAGTGGACATTTTCTTCAAGCCCTAGGATGAAGATGAAGAAACAAGTAGGTAGGTAGTCAAACCATCATATACTTTCACAGTGCATTATGACAAAAAATTCTCATATAACTGCATGGCATCTTTTAGTCTCTGTGATATCAACTCAACCATATGCAATGAAGATCACAAGTTCAAGTGGGGAGGCATTCTACACCATATGATAATAATATAATAGCATTCTAAAGCAGGACAAGTACAAAGGGGAGGAGCTGCAGACCTGTAGCATTACTTTCCGTGCCTCTAGAACTTCATCATTACTCTGGCGCTCCCTGACCATTAGAGTTGTCATAAGAGAATCTTTGTCCGCAAGATCAGATATTTTTTCTGCCAACTCATCATCCATCTCTTTCATAGCTTTCTTAACTGCTTCATCATCTTGATCCTCAAGATGCTTCAGCACATTCAGTTTCCCTTTCAACTGTTGAATTTCCATTTCCAGCTGCTGCTTGGACTCTAACTGCTTTTCCAGCTGAAGAATCTTTTGTAAGGCCTCATCCTTCTCCCTCTGCTCATTTGCAAACCTTTGTAAGTATAAATTCTTTTATAGCTACTGGCCTTTTCATTAAAAAAAAGCATACAAATGCCCATTAAAAAGAAACATGGTGACTTCAGAACAAAGTAATACCTTCTGCGCTTCAACCAGTCTCAGGACATTAGCATCAGCCTTCTGCTGCTCCATGGATGCCAAATGGAGTGACTCGTTAACCACTTCATTCTAAAAGCACCAGCAGAAAGGTCAGTATCAAGCTGTATACAGAACCTAGCATTGATAAAATATAGTTGTAGAAACAAAGATCACTGGAAGACACTTGAACAATAGAATTATCATCATGAACAGGAAGAAGGGTTCTTGTAACAGTTACCTTTCTCTTGTCTTCTGCAAGCCTTTGCCTTTCACGATCTGTCAGTGTTTCCCGCTTGCTCAATTCTTTAGCCCGTTCATCAATTTTCTTCGCCCGCGATTCCAAATCACTGATCAACCTTTCACGCTCAGCCAAGATTCTAAGCACATTTTCTTGTGCAACTCGTTGCATCTTCTTGCTTTCTGAAAGATACAAAAACCCACAACATGTACAAAATCATTGACATATATGGAGAAGATGTGTGGAACTGCATAAGCAAGCCATCATCATATTTGAATATTACAACGGATACATCTTTAGGGATCATTCATCCAATCAATAACTATACAACAAAAGCAAGATCGTATCTGGTTACTGCATTATTATCTCCTTGCATTCACGTGGATCTTATGCTATCCAGTAAAATACACAGATAACGTAACATAGTACTTTCAGTTCAGTGAGATACATCCTCTAAAGCAAGGGAAGACAAACCTTCATCAAAAGCAAGATGTAGCTGATCCTTCTCTTCGAGTGCTCTACTGAATGTCATGGCGTCCTTGTTGTACATGTGCTGCAACTCATCCAGATTCTGATTGGTCTTATAAATTTTCTCAGTCAGGCTTGCAACAACGCTGTTTATGCTTTCACTGGTTTCTTGAGCAATACAGGAAACTGTCGTGAGCTTTGCTTGTTTTCTTAGGTACTTTCCAATTGGACCTTCAGAATCATAGTCATCATGATGTGCAGTCCAGCCATACATCCTTGAGCCAGGATCACTTCCACATGCCTTCCAGTCCACCTTACCACAATGCTCACTGATAAAAGACTTATCAAACTCCCTCGCTTTAGTAAAACCATTCCAATCACTGCTAAACTTCACCACCACTTGAGCTTTTTGGATTTCTTCATTGATTAGGATATGCACATTTGCAGGGTTGTACTTAGCAAACTTTTCCAACCAATAACCATCATCCAGCAATTCAGACTTGATCGATATGTTCATTACGATCCCCATCGGTGGCCATACAAGCTGCTCCATCTGATTTGCAGCATGTGTGGGGGGCTGTGGTAAGACCCTTGTCTGGGTTTCGTCAGCCTCACCCGCCAAGTCAACTTGCAAATACTTGGCTAAGGCAAGATGGTCAGCCTTTTGCTTCCCACTCCTGCTGGCAGCTCCCTTACCCACTCCCGAAGCATGTTGAAGCAAATCCTTGTACTTGTAGTCCTGCTTCTTCTTCCCAGCGCAGAATGGACACCTTAGGATGTCATTTACCTTCACTTTAAACTCTCCAGATCTCAACTGATGATATGGCTCGTCTACATGATCATCGATCTCTGAGTCACTGATGTCGTCCCCTGAATCATGCTCCATTATGCTGCACACAGAACCAAAAACAGAAAATGAAGCTGAGTTCATGCAACTGCATGAACCAAGTGCAAACCAGAGCAACCAATACTCCAGGATCGGACTCCACTTCGAAAGCAGGGCGAGCCAGAGCATGAAAATGGAAGAACAATACGCATGCAAGCATACAACGAGTGATCACGAGCCTCTGAAACAGGAATCTCACCACCGCCATTCAACAGCAAGAAACCCACACATTCCCAACTTCCCAAGCGCCAAGGCCCTCCCTCCCAAAACAACACCATTGAACGATTCACAAAGAGCTGACAGAAACAAAACCCTAGATTTCGACTCATAGTCATAGATGCCCTAGGCAAAGGTATTTGGACAACAGAAATTGAAGAAGCATATAGCAACAACGAGGAAACAGCAGATGATCGGACCATTTTTTTGGGGAAATGTAAGTCGATAGCAAGAGAAACAGAGAGAAGAATTACTTGAAGCGGAGGAAGCGTCTCTCTCTGCAGCAGAATTCCGTCTCTGTTGAGTAGTGTTGCCTTCCCGTCGTGTCACTTTAGGCCAGAGAAGAGAAGTGTGTAGAGTGTAGTGTGAGTGAGCTATAGCAGGTAATTTACTGAGCACGTAGCAGAGGCTATATTTTTAATTAATTTAATTTTGCTTGATCAGGAAATTTGAAAGGACAGAGTAGGGAGAAATATTGTGTAGTTGCGATATATTTGTATCCGGCAACTTTTAATAGCGATGAGGACATGTGGCTTGTACGGTTTTACCAGGTATAAGTGAACGGTGAATGGGGTGTTGACGACTCGTGTAGCGTCTTGTAATACGTGAGTGTGGGTGCATCGCGTCGCACTGGATCTTTTTCCATGGCGGTTTAAGTACAATGGGCAGTTCTGGAATTTGGTGCAGTTATGGCTCCCAGTGCCTAGTCCCAGCGGGCAGCGTGCGCGGGAAGTTAAATGACTGAGCCCGACGGACTACCGGATAGAGGTGGGCATTCGGTTCGGTAAACCCGAATCGAACCGGACCGAAACCAAATTAAACCGAACCGAAACCGAATTAGTGTTGTTCGGTTCGGAATTCGGAAGCCAAAACCCTTTATTTCGGGAACCAGGGGTATACAGACCGAAACCGAATTCCGAACAACCGACCGATCAACCGAACCTAAAATTAAACCCAATCTTACAACCCAACTGACTACTCAAGCTCTCACTTTAAGCCCAATTCTCACAGCCCAAATCAAACAGAACCCAAAAATAAATCCCTCAAGCCCACAACTCTTTCATACATACTGCTAACCTAAACCTAACAAAGAAGACCAAAAACCCAAGCATCACCGCCGTCAAGCATCACCGCCGCCAATGACCGTCAAGCATCGTCGACGTCCACCGAATCCTTCCATCATCTCTTGGCCTTGCCGCAAACTTCTCCTCTATGGGTCGATGCCATTTCCCCTCTCTCCGATCTCTTCTCCTCCCTGAGACCAGAAACCCAAATCCAAAACATAAAACTCCAAATGCATCAAAATCAATATTGAAAATTAAAGCTTTCTTCCCCAAAATCGAAGCTTTCTTCTCCTGAATCGAAAAGAGCGATGATGCTATTGAAACTCGAAGGTGAAAATCAAACAGAAAAATGACATGCATGCTTAGATCTACACTCATACTGACCTCAAACATTCAATCGCCGTGCTCGCCTGTCGCCGCGTTGTGTTATGACTTCCGCATCAATTGTCGTTGTCGATGAGCTGCCAGGCGGAAAAGATACCACCGCAGCACCGTTGCTTTCTGCTCGCCGCTGAGTCGGGAGACGGAGGAGACGGAGGAGATACCACCATCGCAGCACCGCTCCTTTCTTCTCTGCATCCACTGCGTTTGTCGGAAGGGGGAGGGAGGGAGGGAGAGAGAGAGAGAGAGAGAGAGAGAGAGAGAGAGAGAGCATCGACTGCGTCTGTTGGAAGGGGGAGGGAGAGAGAGAGAGAGAGAGAGAGAGAGATTTTATCGAAATGGGGAAACGGCGAGGGTTAGGGTATGTGGGACTGGGAGAGAGAGAATTGGTTTATAAAGCTTCGGTTTGTGTGTTAAAATCGAACCGAACCGATATTTAACTCGGTTCGGGTGCATCGAACCGAATTAAATTTCGGTTCGAACTCGGTTTGGGGGACCCGGTATGCTCTGGTTCAGTTCGGTTCAAACCGAACCGACCGAACGCCCACCTCAACTACCCGACTCCTTGCTCGCTCCAACTTCTGTTAATGGGATAATACCAATATGGGCCGAAACTTTTGGGCCCTGGGATCTCAACAACCAAAGGCAATAAGGCATTTTAGTTTCCAAAAAATCTCTATTATGGATTAAAACTTGATAGAGAGATAAAAAAGCTAAATGAGATTTTAAGGGTTTAGTAATCAAACATCCCAGACCATTTTCCGACGAAGATATTGTTTGCTTTGGGGTCTCGATCCTCATTGTTTTCGATTTGGGGTGCAATTCAAGGTGACTTCCCATAAGGTCACCCATCCTTGTTGTACTTCACACCGAGCACGTTTAACTTTGTAGTTCTCACAAGAACTCTTCCATTTACCCCAAAACGCATCCAGTCAGTTAATGTCGCTTTCTTACTTATGAACCATGTATCTCTCCCGTGCTTTGTCAGGTGTTACATACACCCCCCCTTTGGGAATCAATGTCCTCGTTGAGGTTTGCCCCACCATTGTTCAAGAAGGACGCAGAGAGGCTCTGATACCACTTGTAACATCTCAGACCTTTTCCCAACGAAGATATTGTCCGCTTTGGGTCTCGACTCTCACGGTTTTCGATTTGAAGTGCAATTCAAGCTGGCTTCCCATAAGGTCACCTATCTTTGTTGTACTCCACACCGATCACGTTTAACTTCTGAGTTCTCATAAGAACTCTTCCATTTCACCCCAAAACGCATCTAGTCAGTTAAGGTCGGTTTCTTATTTATGAACCATGGATCTCTGCCGTGTTTTGTCAATGTGGGATTCTCCTAAAGTGTTACATACACCCCCACACCCCTCCTTGGGACTCAACGTCCTCGTTGAGGTTTGCCCCACCATCGATCAAAAGGGATGCGGAGAGGCTCTGATACCAGTTGTAACATCCCTGACCTTTTTCCCAACGAAGATATTGTCTACTTTGGTTCTCGACCCTCACGGTTTTCGATTTGGGGTGCAATTCAAGGTGACTTCCCATAAGGTCACCCATCCTTGTTGTACTCCACACCGAGTACGTTTAACTTTGGAGTTCTCACAAGAACTCTTCCATTTCACTCCAAAACGCGTCTAGTCAGTTAAGGTCGGTTTCTTACTCATGAACCATGGATCTCTCCCGTGTTTTCTCGATGTGGGATTCACCTAAGGTGTTACATACACCCCCCCCCTTGGGACTCAACGTCCCCGTTGAAGTTTTCCCCACCATCGTTCAAGAGGGACGCGAAGACGCTCTGATACCACTTGTAACATCCCTGACCTTTTCCCAACGAAGATATTGTCCGCTTTAGGTCTCGACCCTTACTGTTTTCGATTTGGGGTGCAATTCACGGTGACTTCCCATAAGGTCACCCATCCTTGTTGTACTCAACACCAAACACGTTTAACTTCGGAGTTCTCACAAGAACTCTTCCATTTCACCCCAAAATGCGTCTAGTCAGTTAAGGTCGGTTTCTTTCTTATCAACCATGGATCTCTCTCGTGCTTTGTCGATGTTGGATTCGCCTAAGGTGTTATAAAGGAAGTGGGGGGAGTTGTTGGTGATTAGTTACTCAAATACCTCATATATTTTTCATATTCGATTATGCACTCATGGTTTCCTTTTTATATTCTCGTTGTGTCCCAAGACAATAAAATAGAGCCTCCTGAAATCAATGAAAACTTGGATTGGAATGATTATCTAGTTGGTGATGCATGACAGGTGAGTTGAACTGCAGAAGCATCTTCGTAATTTGCTTGATTCGAGATGTCAATCCGGAATAGAAATTATTAGAGTTGGATTTCACCATGTTCTCTACATGTGTTTAAAGGGTTTTGAGGGGAATCAATTCGCGGCGGAGGACATCAAACCAGGTGGATCACGTGCCTGACCAGTGATCAACGACTCTCTGTTTCCCTAGCTCGCGATCTGCATCACGGGAAATCGATCAACTAGCAACGACCTTCGGGAAAAGTTAATCCGCTAACTTGAAGATTTGTTTAGGAGATACTAACTGATATCCAAGATACATGAACTAATATCCAAATACTAAAGTATTTAGAGAGCACAAATCGAATAGTATACAAAGTTTGCTAACTGATATCCATCACGAATCAACTATTATCCCAAATTCACAAACTAATATCTAGAAAACACATAATAGTATCAAAACAACACATAATTAGTATCCAGATAACATATAAGAGTATCCAGATAACACATAAGAGTATCCATATTGAATACTAGTTGGTTAATTGTGGATACTAGTTGGTATCTGCTATCTGGATACTAGTTTGTGATGTTTTGAATGCTAGTCTGTGATATCTAGATACTCAGCAGACTTGGATATTTGTTCATACATTTTGGATATTAGTTAGTATATACTAACGGATCTTCAAGTTAGCAGAATAACTAGGCTGACGACCTTCGGCTCAGATAGCTTCTGTAACACGTAATCCACTAGCAGGCGCCGTGTACCGCCGCATCCTTCGGCGAACTATGTCGTCGGATAAGAACCAATCACTGGTAGCCAGCGTGATCCATCTGGATGTGCCTTGCGTCCTACTCCAATGAACAACGTTGCTGTTCGCTTGGTTGTCTAGCGACCTCTCGGAATTTTTAGGAAATATTTTGACTAGTTCTATGTACTGGGAATTTTTTTTATATGATGTATTAGGGAGAAAAAATCCCTTAGTGTAGGATTGGAACAAATGAAAATAGACGACTGATTATCTAGTTAGCACCATACAAACCCCTTCTCGAGATTGATCGTTGAACTTCTCACTAAATTCTAACACGTCCTATATTTTTATCTTATCTTGTGATGCACCATCGACGTAGGTGTACATATAGAAATTGTCAATATATGCTATCGATAATCGCACAAATTCATCTCAGAAAAATACATCTATTTTAGTTAAAGAAAAAATAGAAACGAAGCAATTAAGGCTAAACAATTTCCCTTTGGAAACAAAGTTAATATGGAAAATCAGAAGGATTATAAAAAAAAAAGAACAAATCGATTCTGTGATTGTCATTAATATCGCATATTTGCATTCTCCTAAAGTGGAAATGCCAATGTTCATTCCATCAACTCTCTAATAGCATATATAAGGCATGCCTTTGGGAAACCACCATTGTCATAAATAAATAAATAAAATGGCGACGACGTTCAAAGCCTCCATGTTCCCCGTACTATTATCGTTGATCATAATGCTACTTTTCGCGACGATATTTCCATCCGCCGTCGCGGTAAGCGTCAAGCTCACGGTTCCGGACACCTCGACGATATGCGACAAGAGCATGAATAACACATTCTGCGAGAGCTTCATGAAATCCACCGCCGGGATATCCACCGCGGACCTGGCCGGCGCCGGAGGGATCATCCTCGACGTCAGCAGCAAGAGCGCCGCGGAGACAGAGGATTACATCAAAACCCAGGTAGCCGCGGGGGATCCGAAGCTCGCGGAGGCATACAAGAAGTGCTTGGAGAACTACCGTTGTGCTGTGAGCTCCATCGCCGACGCCAAGGCTTCGCTGGCGTCGAAGGACTACGAGGGGATGAACCTGAAGGCCTCCTCGGCTCAGTCGGAGACGGATACTTGTAATGAAGCGGTGAGGGGATCCGGCGCGGCGGAGACGGATCCGGTTCCGGTGAGGAGTCGGTACATGTGTAATGTTCTGGATATTGTTCTCATAATTGCTAATAAATTGCAAAAAGGTTAGACGAGTGTAGGTTATGTCTTTAGGAGGAAATGAAGCTTGGTTTTGATACTTTTTTTTTATCACATAGAATTTTGTGATGATATGTACTTTTATGGAAATTGATTGTCCATGTTTTAATTGAAATTATTAGAAATATGTTATTCAAGTAATGTTTATTTTGAACAGTGATTCAAATCATAATATTGGAAATTACAAGTATGGTTAAATACTATTTAATAGGATACCCTATTTTACCCCGAAGTTTGGCGTAAATGACACTTTTGGCCTGAAATTTCAAATAATACAGTTATGGCCGACATTTGAAAATAATGGATAGATTTAGTGTGAAGTTTGGCTTCACTGTCAATAATAGCGGTGAAACATTTTTACCATTAATAGCTGACAATTTTATTTCAAAGAGAGATAGAGAGGGGAAATAGGGAAAGAAGAAAAGACATTTAGGCTTTAGAGCATGAGAAACGGGTCGGGAAAATGGACGACTAAGTGATTTGAGTTATTTATGAACAATTATTTCTATTTTAATTGAGAACAAATTGCATACCCTTGGGACTAGAAAAACATGTTTTTTTTTTTGTTTTCTCTATGAATTGATTGGGCTAGATTTTCAGAGATGGCCGCTGCGCAGGGCGCCTCTGCTAATTGGGCGCAACTGTTTGGTGTCAAAGCAAGCAATTGACTTCACTATATCGATTCGACTATCGTTGACGGCTCACTAGTGATTCCACGAGATGTGCACGAGGATGGAACAACTTGTTAGAGGAATGCGTCGTCTATTGGCCAATTTCTGTCACTGGCACCAGGGATTGAACAACTACGTCGCTGGGTGCATCGATTCCGGGGGAGCAATGTTAAGGTGTACGTCTCGCAATTTGGGGAGAACATGTCCATCTTCCAGTTCACATATTCGAACACATCGAAAATGGTCCTTGGCAATACTTCAACAACCCACTCTTCTTTGGCCTGTGGGTACCTAGAATTCAGCCAGTTCATATGAGCCTCAAAATAGCTTCCAATATGGGTAAGTTTGAGTTGGACTCCACTTGAATATTGTAGTGCTGAAGAACTTATTGGGATTGCAAGTCTATTGGGTACTCCCCTTTGGATTGACCAAGAGACTAGGTTAGGGGTTCAATCAGTTGTTGCTGGAGTTTGTGGGGACATAAATTCGGATTTTTGTTTCAATAAAGCTAGTCAAATTACTCTAGAAGGGGATGAATTACTTCAATTGGGCATGAGGTAGCTTCATGTGCCATCACGCTGCTCTCAGTGTATGGAATTTGGTCATTGTGATGGGGAAGGAAAGGAGTGTAAGGTAGTTCAAGTGTTAACTGGTAAGGAAGTTCTTCTACTTGTGGTGGCTGAGGCCATGGCTGCTGATGGTGCTTGGGTTCCACAGCAGAGTGAGGTAGCAAGTTCTTCTACTTCGGTGCAGCAAGTGTTAAACACTTCTCCTGTGGAAGTTAAGGCATCGGTCACACACATAGAAGGTAGTAGTGCAGATGGGGCTTTACAAGCTCGAACATCTTCAGTCTAGTGGAAGTAAGGCCATTATAGATGATCATGGGTTTTAGTTGGTGGCTAGGAAAAGTAAGGCAGTTGTAACAAGCTCTAACATGTAGATTCCCAATTCTGCAGTTCAAGCAAGAGTGCCACTAAATGCTAAGGGTCAGGCTCTGGTTATCCATAACTCTCACAACAAAGGGAGAGGCAGAAAGAGGAAATAATGAAGTTGTTATTATTGAATCTCAAGGGATTCAATAAACTTACAAGGCAGTTTAGTAGTTGGAAGAATATGAATAACTATAAGCATTCTAGTCCTGGTAGAGTCTGGTTGTTATGGAAGGATTCTTTGAAGGTTACCGAGGTAGCAATGGGTGACCACTTTATACAAGTTAGAGTTGAAGGGGAATAAGATTATGTAGTTTTTGTGGTTTACAGTCCCAACAAGGCTCATGAGCGGTTGCAATTTTATGCTGAAGTACTAGGGCCATGTAGTGTAGTTGGTGAACTTGGGAGTTTTCATGAGTGATTTCAATGTTGTTGTTGAAGTGTCAGGGGCATCAAATTTGACTGTCTTGAATCAGAGTTGCTTGGATTCTAGAGAGTTGATTTAAGATATGAGGCTGATTGACCATAAAAATCAAGGATTCTGGCTCACATGGTAGAACAAACAAATTGCAAATCCAGTTGGAAAGAGGTTAGACAAAGTGTTGTTGAATGGAGAGTGGTTAACTAAATTCCCTCGCAATGAGACTTTCACTCTCTCCCTCAGGGTGTTCTATTATTGTGGATTGATAATATTATTTTTGTCCAAGATATGTCAAGAAGGCGCAGCCGAAAAGAACCACATTACAAAACCGACAACGACACACGGTAGTCTGTATGCAGCCGAACTACATTTTAAAGAGCCTTTTTGCCACTACTTAAAAAATTCTAGAAAAGCTTCGAGGAGAATAAACACGATACAAACAAAAATGATTAAACTATCTAAGTACAAAAATACAAAATAACTTCCCAGATAACCTTTACAAATGAGTGTCTTCTCTAGAATATGTTGCATGCTCAGTTACGAGTTGCCACCAGATGTCACAATAAAAAAAGTCATTAGACTCTTTGAAGAGCCAAGTATTTTGGCAATAAAGGCATGCAAGAGACAATCCGACAGTTTAATAAAAGAAAATGGGATCGAATCATCATTTGATATGTCTGAAAAGCTGGATGCAGACGTGTTGGGCAATGATCGTTGGTTATATTCTTTCTTCTGAGCCTTAGATAAATCTATACTACAAAAATTGATTAATACTCGGAAATAAAAAAACTGCTTATACACAATTACATAAACTTTGATTATGCATATGGTCATACTATTAGGCCATGGTCTAATGCGATCCACTCTCCTTGTTTCTTAGCGAAGTCGGGTAAATGTCACATTTGATCACTGGGATTACTAAACTGCGTTATGTTTAGTCACTAGATAAAATTAATATCAATTTTGGTCACTCGAATTACTAAACCAGGTCACATTTAGTCACTCTCGTGTTAGCCTCCGTCCAACTCCGGTGACTCGAAACATGCCACATTTAGTCACTTTTCGTTAGCCTCCGTCCAACTCCGTTAATGGAGTTAGAGGGAAACTAACGGGAGAGTGACTAAATGTGACATATTTCAGTAATTCGAGTGAGCAAAATTAATATTATTTTTTCTAGTGACTAAACATGACATAATTTAGTAATCTTAGTGACCAAATGTGACATTTACATAAAAGTCATAATAAAAAAAAAAATTAAAGAAAAACAGTCTACAAGTATCGCAAGAAAGTCCCAAAAGAATAAGAAGTACAATAACGACAGATTGCAAGAAAACAAAAATACAGACGAAGGAGAATCAAGTTAAATCGTTACACGTAACTGTAAACATAAACTTCAATGTTTATCATTGCAAATATCCAATTGATTGACGTTCTCTCCTTAATTCAATTCCTCTCTCATATTTGTAATGTGTATATATAGGTATGTGATACGAGAAGAAGAAGTTATTAATTAAAACCATCCCAATCTACACCGACGTACTAAGAGGGAGATAGAGAGAGCTGGCCGGCCGGAAAATGATGATGAGAGGGGCAGCTGTGATGGTGATAATGGTTTCTCTTTCAAGCGCCATGTTCTTCTTCTTAGCTTCTGGCTACGAATTCTACGCTCTGTGCAACAAAGCCAAGTTCCCGGATACTAACCCTCTGGAGAGTGCTGCCGAAGCTGCGCTAGCCAACTTGGTGAACGGCGAGGTGGCCGGCCTGCATCGTTGCGCTGATGGAACTTCTGACATCTACACAATGCACGGCGAAGCTAGCTGTGGAAGCTCGGATGGCTGCGACGACTGCCTCAACGCCGCCAAAAGTTACTTGCTGTTGATTTGCAGTGGTCACCTTGGAGGCCAGGCGCACGACAACAGTGGTTATTGCTCCATCAGGTTCGAGAACTACATTTTCTGCACATGAAATTCATCAACTTATAAACCTAGCTCTACGTACGGCTCTACCTACGTACTCCAGCTGATCGAACCCACATCGCATCAGTGAGGAATAAGAACCTAATACACGACGGGCCAGTTTGTCTTTTCCCGGCCGAACTAGAGAGATCTCTGTAGCAAACAACGATATATATAATAATGCTCTTTACAGTTTATATGCAGTCGTGGTGTTTGGAACGAGAGTTTTCGTTACATCCTGTAAAAAAAAAAAAAAATCATCTTGTTGGGACTTTTATTGGGACGAGGGTACACGTACGATAGCCCGAGATTGGGTGACCAGGATTATGATAGAGTAGTGAACTACGTTCACTTTCCGTAAAAAATATTTCCACCCTCAACAAGTCTAGGGTTATAGGAAATTTCTTCGTAGGATAAAACTATCACCACTTTATGTTCCAGGGTTAAGTACCTAAAGCATACTTAGAAGTTTAGTAGGAAGAAGAATGAATTTTTGGTGTCTCCATTGTCTCCACCCGAACCACTCCATTTATATTGGATGAATGAGTGCTTTGAGAAAATGTAATCTTTCAATTATGTGGGTAGTTTCATTCTGCCAAACGTTGGCATTATCTAGTGGCCAACTGCCATTTTTACCCAACCCACGCAACCAATCAGGGAAGATAAATAAGTGGCCTTTCATGGAGATTTAATTAAATTCAGTGGACATATCTCTTCATGAGGAGATGCTTTATTTTGCCATGCATTACCATGTTTGGTCATTAATGGACGTCCATGGAAAATTGAATCAAAGCAATGTTCCTTTATTTTAATTAATGGACACCTCCATCCAGGAAAATGACATCCAAATCGGTTCTGTTAGTTTTGATCCAAATCGATTCTATTAAATCTCCAACAATCCTCCCTATTTTAGTGTATTCATAGAATTCACTAAAATCACAACATTCTTCCAACAAAAACTTAAGTATAAATGAAAATGTCGTGACGATTGAATTTTCACCTTAGTATATTATACCTGACAAATATTCGAATACAAAGGGTGTCGGTAACGATTAAACCCATTGACTCATATGAATATTCGAAGATAATATACACTTAAGTTTTCAAAACTTTTAAGTGCCTTGACACTATTATCCGCCATGTGTCCAATCCTTATCATAAGCGCACACGAAACCAAAGTCCGGATTTCTTGAAGCGGCTACACTTCATGCTTACGTAGGTTGAATCTCTTATTCGTACCCGCATAATACACTTTTTCAAAGATTCAATTAAGAAGTTTTAAACTTCATCCTCTTCTCTCATGCAGGATAACAAGCACATACCTCGGGATGACAAATTTTGTGCTTTCAATTTCTGATAATAAGCTTTCCGCATTGAATTCAGCCTCTAACGTTGTATTAGAGGGGAATTGGGTGTCCCATTATCAGAAATTATATGGACTTTTAACCCATCCCATTCACATACTTGACCACCAAGTCACTAGTTAATCATTTCGTCAAATGATAAAACTAAATTATCTCAAGTCCGGTCACATTACATTGGCACAATTCCATGGGTGATCAATTCACAGATTTTACAGTGCCTAAGTCCCACGCGACCATACTTTTCATTTCACTTGGCTATATGCCTTAGTCAAATTAGCATTACTATCACAAATGATAGTAATAGGTGAGGTTGGTTTAGGCCATAAATATATGTCGTAAACCAAACCTCTCAACAATTATGTCTCTTCTCTAAGAGAAACCAAGACCACACAAACTTTGATTCCATAGTGAAACTTAGTGATACAAGTTTGCTTTCTAGAGGCCCAAAATATGGCACCTCTCCCAAGCAAGAGGACTCATCTCAATGTTGAAGTATCACCTTTAACATGAGAAATCCAACTAACATCAACAAATCCTTCCAAAATTGATGGTAAGCCACTATAAGTCAATACAGTGTGCCTTTGACATATCCTAGTACACGCCTCATTTCATTTTCAAATGACGAGAACTGGGATTCATCACATACCAACTTAATTTTTCTATTGCATATGCGATATCTAGCATCATGCAAGTCAAGCATACATCGAGCCCTCAATTTAACATGGAATACTCCAGTTGTAAAAACTGATTTTCAGTATTAACCATAAGTTCCATACTTGGATCCATTGGGGTCTTGAACTCACTACAATTCCTACTATGGAATTTATGCAAGTACCTTTTCATGCAGAAAAATTGAGAGAAGGACTCTTTCTTGTCGTTTCGCTTGATTCAATATACAGAATCACATTTGCCTCCCCCATGCCCTACATGGAGAATTGAAATAAAAATTTTTTTAATCAAAATTCACTTATCTTTTATTGGTTCCAAAGATAAGCCTGTCTTATATATTACATGTACGATGACTTCATTACCAGAATCGACATAAATTGTGTACACATTTTGTCTCCTTGGTTTAAAATAACATAAAACACTTGACAAAATCACTTATCTTTGATTGGTACCAAAGATAAATATGTCATCTACATACAAACACAACGACTCTATTACCAGAATCATCAAACATTGTATATACAATTTTGTCTCCTTGGTTTAAAATAACATAAACCACTAAACAAAATCACACCACCAAACCACTAGACAAATCCAAGTTCATCTAGAACTTCGTAAATGTCGAATAGAGAATTAGACTAATTAACCATTGAGTATGTGAACTACCCAAAGGCAATTTTCATTCTTCTATTTCTCCATTTTACGAATCATTCTCCTTCTTCCTCATCTTCGAATCATCCCTCTTCCAAGTTACCTTCCGGATATGGAATACACCATGAGACAAGTACGAAGAAAACCCATCTTCTACTGCCATCGATGAAAAACCCATCATCGAACATTCTCATAATTCCATAGACCGGAACCGGTTTCTTGTAAAGAGCGGTTTGAGCCATCGTACCGTGAAAATATTCTTTACAATTGTTGGGACTTTTATTGGGACGAGGGTACACGTACGATAGCCCAAGACCGGGTGACCAGGATTATGATAGAGTAGTGAACTACGTTCACTTTCCGTAAAGAATATTTCCACCCTCAACAAGCCTAGGGTTACAGGAAATTTATTCGTAGGATAAAACTATCACCACTTTAGGTTCCAGGCTTAAGTACCTAAAGCATACTTAGAAGTTTAGTAGGAAGAAGAATGAATTTTTGGTGTCTCCCATTGTCTCCACTCGAACCATTCCATTTATATTGGATGAATGGGTGCTTTGAGAATTTGCAATCTTTCAATTATGTGGGTAGTTTCATTTTGCCAAACGTTGGAATTATCTAGTGGCCAACTGCCATTTTTACCCAACCCACGCAACCAACCAGGGAAGATAAATAAGTGGCCTTTCATGGAGATTTAATTAAATTCAGTGGACATGTTTCTTCATGAGGAGATGCTTTGTTTTGCCATGCATTACCATGTTTGGCAATTAATGGACGTCCATGGAAAATTGAATCAAAGCAATGTTCCATTATTTTAATTAATGGACACCTCCATCCAAGAAAATGACATCCAAATCGGTTCCGTCAGTTTTGATCCAAATCGATTCTATTAAATCTCCAACACATCTGGTATTTCTAACGGCAAGTATGTTATGGATCTAGTCCATGTATATTGATAACATCGGATTTGCACATGTTTGCACCCTCGTTTCTTGATCATTTTGGCTTGAGTTTCTGCTTTCTTGGACTATTTTACGCTAGGTTGTGTTCCTTTGTCACATTTCAGGTCCTAGCATATGAATTGAAGCATAGGTACAAGTTTCAAGTCAATCGGAGATCATTTGGCAATTCGGGAGAAGAAACACAAGCATGACCTGAGGAGTAATGGACTTCTACCTCATATTATAGACAAATAATCATGAAATTTTGTCATGAAAAGAAAGAGGATAAGACTACGAGCGTTTGGGATCAAACGACGACTGATTTGGAGTCCGGACGAGGGAGAAACGAAGCATTAAACAGAGGCTGCGCAAGCCACACGGGCATCCTGGAATTCCACACGGCCGTGTGGGTCGTGGCCGTGTGGAAATCACCGAGCCTTCACACGGGCAGCTGGGAAAGCCACACGGCCGTGTGGCCTGGCCGCATGATCGGGAATTTCTGTTTAAAACTCGATTTTCAGCCAAAACGGCCGTGTGGAAATCACCGAGCCTTCACACGGGCAGCTGGGAAAGCCACACGGCCGTGTGGCCTGGCCGCATGATCGGGAATTTCTGTTTAAAACTCGATTTTTAGCAAAAGGAAAGGGCAGAGCTGGGTTTTTGGTTCCCAAACACCCAAGGGACGAACCCTAGAGAGAGAGAGCGACTTGGGAACATTCTTGGAGCTATTTTGGAGGATTTCTTCGCCATTGGAGCTCGGGAATCAAGCTTGGAGATGGAGATTGAAGATCTAGATCAGATTTCTGCAGTCTCTCTCTTCTCTATGGAGTAACTTCCCTTCACTTAGGTTTTGAGGAACCCTAGTTCCATGTGTTAGGATCTCTCTTGTATGAAGTTTTGGATGCTATATTGTTTGATTATAATCGATTGAGGCATGATTTATTGATTCAATTGAATCTTGATAAAATTCTCTTGATTTTTGCTTTAACCTATGATAGATAGAATCTGATTAGGTTAAGAGAGCTTCCTTGATTGATGGTGGTGAATTGGTTATACGAGAGTTAGTCAATCCACTGCTTTGTACTGGAATCCAATTCCGGTAGTGGAGTTCTGTGTTCATAGCCTCAGCTTTCTATCCCGGTGAAGGTTAGTCGCCTTCCGGGTAGTTGGACTGAGAGGGCTTGGTCAGCTTAAGAGATTCCAAGCTACTGTCGGATCTTCCGCAGTTTAATCAACAGTAGATCAACCAAAGGTAATTGCAACTTGGACCTAATTGAGGAGCTAGGGGGAATCATACATAAGTGAGTTCACAACTTGTAATTAGTAGAGTAGTCAGTAGAGTAGTTTATAAATCAATCCTTAATCTAGTTTGCTAGATAATGAACCGAAACTGAGTAATAGAAACTCTAGAGACCCGTGGATTCGATATTTATTACTTGTGCCACTATACTGCAGTCCCTTTCATTGGTTACACTTGGCCATTGTTAGGTGTTGTGTTTTAGCGTGTCAAGTTTTTGGCGCCGTTGCTGGGGACTTTCTAGATTATTAGGAAAGGCGGAAGTTTGTTACTTTAGCGTTTTTCTTTTGTTTTCCGCCCTTGCTTTTCACTTGGGTGTTTTTTGTTGTTGTGCAGATATGAATCATGGACCCTCATGGCTTCTCCAACCATTATGGGTATCCACCACCATCCGAGTGGTATTACCCCGAGACTTCCTGGAGTAACCAAGGAGGAGAAGACTATGGAGTCGGGTTTCAGTACCAAGCCCCCTACTACGAAGAACAATCAGACCCCTGGGTATTTCAAGAACAATCTCCTTATCAAGAATAATTCCTCCCACAACAAGAAGGACCATCAGATCTTGGGTTTGCCACAGCCTTCACGGACGATCCGGCAGAGCCATGCTACACTCCACAGCCGGATCCAAACTATCACTTGAGGCTTCTCGTGGAGCAGATTGCTCGAGTACCTGAGAGATCCTTTCCCGAGATGGATCCTCATATCCAGGCCATTGCCCAAACTGACTTCTCATTTCCTTGTGAAACAGAGGATACCCTTCGGAGCATAAAGAAGCACATAGAGGTCATTGAGAAAGCCTGTTCATAGTTTTCTCAAGACAACCTTTATGCTGCCATACAAGTAGAGGTGGAGGAAGAAGAAGGCAATCATGAGGATGTTGAGGAGCATACAGAAGTTGTCAAGGAAAGCTCCCATGATAATCATGATCAAGTGTATCCTCTGGTGGTAGATCACAACTTTCCCCATTTCCGTTCTGACATGCTGGGCCCGAGCGAGGAGATGCAAGCTGAACCTATTGAGAACCTTGCATGGCGACTTGCTCTTCAATCAGTTATGGAAGAAGAAAAGAGAGAAAGGGTGAGGAAAGAAGTTGTGGAGGATGAGGAAGAAAGCAAAGAAGAGGTAGTTCTTGATCTTTTCCGAGGAGAGAGATCACATTTTCAAGAAGGAAGGGGTGTTGAAGAAGCGAGTGGTGTCCAGGCTGAGGATGAAGTTGAGGTGGAAGAGGCTTGCACCGGCCCTATAATACAAGTAATATCCCCACCAAACTTCGAGGAACTGCTTAGCAAGGACCCATTTGCAGTGTCTCTTTGCCAAACCAAGGCCACATCGACATCGGTGCCTCTTGGTGGACGCGATGGTGGCCATTCAATGTTGTCATATCTGGTTTGTGGCAATGAGACGAGAGAAGAGAAGAAGAGGTCTCGAGGGTGGAGACTTGATCTGCATCAAGTGCACGAGCTTCCATCACCTGTCATACCACATGCTCGTGACTTGAGACTCCACCTCATCGACGAGAACCTCAACTTCAAAGAGGTTCTGGGGTGGACCGAAACTTAGGACTCATCGTCCAGCTCACGACGTTAAAGAAGCGCTTGTTGGGAGGCAACCCAACCTGTCGGTTTGCATTTCTTTCTCTATTTGTCCTCGGTTGAGTCAGTTTTGTTATTTGATTCTAGAGTCAATAACTCAACCTTTGTGAGATTTTGTGTGGTGTTTGTGTTCTGATTACTCTCTCTTTCTGGAATGCACCGCCTGACCCGTCCATCATCATTCACCCTTGATTTGGTAACTTCGTTCTACCCTCCTTATCTTTCCTCCATTGAGGACAATGTCGTGCTTAAGTGTGGGGGGGTGTTTGATTATGTATGCGGGTGAATGTTTTGCTGTTTGTGTGCTTGGAGCCTAGTCCACTGTCCAAATTTGAGATTTGAGGGCTCCAAGTACTGCTGTTTGCTTGATCATATTGGCACTGTGGTTTTAATTGGTGAATTGAATGGCTTTCGACTTAATGCATGACAACTGAGGT